ATCATTGGCCAGATTGGAGGCCCAAAGAGCAATGTGTGATTTATTTGAAAACCGAGCTCCGTAAGAAGTGTCAACAGAGAGATGATCTGGAGAGGCAGATAGAGCCAAAGATTTGTCGAGGAAAGGCACATCACGAGTCCAAAGTATCCCTCAGCAAGAAGGCTGAGGAGCAGCCCTCTCACTCAGGAGCTCAGAATTCTGGAGGAAGATCACTAGATCAGAGAAGTTCAGATGGACACATAGGAGAAGAAGAAATTGGAACAGGAACTTCAACTAACCATAAATGATAAATGGACTAGTATATTCACGGTGATAATTAAGCTTCTCAAGGAGGTCATTTTCCACTCAACAGAACACTCGTGATACTGACAGAGGCAGAACATTAGTGCAGGAGAAAGCTAGAAGAGTTCGCGATCAAAGAACGGCAACTTGCATGAGAAGGGGCATAAAGGAAACCAGGGGGATGAAGAAGGCTAATATAAAAAGCAACCATGCATAAGTGGTACAAAAGGGTCCAAAACTAAAACGCCCAATAGAGCAATTGGCATATGGCATGTACAGAAATAGACCCCCCAGATATTCGACAGATCAGCAAATGGTACTGCAAAACAGTGAAGCACTTCGTTTTCTTTTGAGGAAAGACTGAAAGAGTGAAGCACTTCATCACCGAGGTGTCGGCAAACCTTAGGCCTTGGCCAGCTGCCTTATCTACATATAACGAGCTTTATTTAGGTCATGGACCGTGGACCAAAAATACTACTATATGATATCACTAATACAGTAAACGTTTCTACATGGTTTTTACACTTAGGGCCTGATTGGGTCCTTGAATTAAATTCATTCTAATAACTATAATTTAGACATAGATTAATTAAGCTAATATAGTTGTATATGAAATATATTTGTATATTTATTGTTACGCATACATTGCATTTCTATTGTAGGGAAGTGGGTTGAAGAATGTGCTATAAGTTGGAGAATATAATAGAATTATAGTATAGTGATCTATATAATCCATTTCCATCTCCCACCCTATGAATTTGAGATAGGCTTATTTGTAAGCTTGAAAAAATTATGAAATATTGAATTCTAAGCCAAATAGCCTAATTTATTATGTAGATTTCAATTCTCTAAAATGAAGAGATCCAAACGGTCCCTTATGTTTGTTTAAAGTTACTATCCGTACAAATCCTAGACTTAAACTGCTAGTTGATTTACACTGACGGTAGGCATAGCTTGTAACCTTAAGAAATCTGCTAGTAGAGATGTATCTTCACTGTTAATTTATAGCCATGCGTCCATAGTTCCAGTTCTACTAGCACATATTTTTTATGAACCACCAGTGAAAAAAAAATCTCTAGTATAGATAAAAACCGTTTCTGTACTAGTTTATGTTACTTCTATCCGAAAATAGAATATACAACTCTAGACTTAATTCAAAGTCAAACTAACTTCTTTATTGGGAATAAAAGCATAGTCTTCTTTTTAAAATTGGGAATAAAAGCATAGTCGATTTTTGCTTTAACAACTCGGGGAGCAAGAGCAACGTACGGATGGAATTAGGGAGGGGGAAAAGCAAATGGGCCTACGACGCTGGACGTGCGCTACTTTGGGCCAGTCCACATCAGGCCTTCTCAATTGTGCGGCGCGAAGCTGGTATAAGCCAATAGCAACTCGTAAGCTGGCCACGGATTTCAGACTGCTACTCTGCGGAGCCCACCAAAGGCAGCTCAAGGGCCACTGTGGAAAGTTGGTTACCGAATTTGAACAGCGCGCGCGTTGCCGAATCCGAAGGCGTATCTAACGCTGCGGCCCCAGCTCTGCTTTCTTGTTGGCGACGGCCGACGGCCGTGCAGGCGTGGGACCACCCACGGAATCAACGGCCAATAATCACAGCTTTAATCCATGAGCGCCCCACTATTCTACTCTTTGCCCAGGTTAACCTCGACATCATCCCGATCTGCGCTTACTTTAATCAGCACACATATACGTGTGTGTGGGGACACGCGACGACAACGACGCCACTAGCGCACGATCGATCAGATTGGAGATCGACGGGATGCTCCGCGTATTTTGTTGGAGTCGGGCGTTGCTTCGGTTCAAAGGAAGCAACTCGTTGCTACAGAGAGTGAAGAAAACCGAAGTTGCTTATTACTCCTGCTCTCTCTCTTCTAAATTACAAGATGTTTTGTCTTTTCAAGATACATATATTTTTATTATGCATTTAGATATACAACAGTCTAGGTACCAAGTAAGGGTAGGGCCAACGTAGACTAACATGCATTTATATAGATATAAAAAGTTCAGAGATTTCAAGTTCACGGCGCAGGCTGTAACTGCCTATTAAATGGTGGCCCTACTATTCCTTCTTCTAATAACTCTTAGCCCTCGATAAAAGGAGCGGTAGACCTTCAACATTTGGCTCCCAATGCGTGCTCTGGTGGTAGCTTCTCTCTTTTGTTAGACCAAGCTACTGCATCTTCTGCAGGCAACATTGGCGCCCTGCGGAACCACTATCCGAACTGATGTGTAGGTTGCTTGAGAACGTGGAAGCTTGGGTATATAGCCACACATGTAGCGTTGGGGACGGGTAATAGTAATGTATCTAGAAAAAACAAAACGTCTTATAATTTAAACGTATGAGTGCTTATTGTCATCTTTCCGAACCTTACGCCACGATGGAACACACACAAAAGATGAGAGTTAACTATATTATCACCTTCAAATGAACTTTAACTAAAGAAGTGCATGAATGATGGGGAATTAATAATAAGCGGAAAACATACAACCTGCATAAATGAGAACATGATGATTAATATTGGTGCAGTGAACCACTAGTGGTCCCTAAATATCACGGTCTCCCGGTCAAGTGCTAAAGACGAATACAGGTGTGTTGCTAATGTTGCGTCTGAGGCTTGCTGGATTCGTCGACTCTTGGGAGAGCTTCGTCGTCTTTTAATACGTGCTATTCTTGTATATTTGTGACAACATCAGTGCCGTATATTTGTCCACAAATCCAGTTAATCATCAAAGGACCAAGCATGTGGAGATCGATCTACATTTCGTCCGGGAAAGAGTGGCCCTTGGAGCTGTGCAAGTTCTTCATTCCAACGTCCCTTCAATATGCAGACATATTCACTAAGGCTCCGTTTGGATGTAGATATTGAGCTGCTGGAATTGAATTGGGTTCTAATACCAAACCAGAGTAGTATTGAAAATGAGTTACAAAACCAATTCTGTTGTTTGGATGCATATGATATTGGTAGTTGGAATCTAGTAACGTGACAAATACTTATTCATGTTTGGATGTCATATGATGGAATTGGCAAATGCACATGTCTTCTCCACCGCACCAGCAACCTAGCCCTAACGCCACTCCTCCTCCCATCGCCAACGGTAGCTATGCCCACCACAGCATGGTGGAGCTGAGAAAGCTCCCATCGACATAGGCCCCGGTGGAGCTGAGAAAGAAGCTCCCTCGCTGCAGGCCCTTGCGGATCTGAGAAGGTACCACCGTGACGGGGAAAAGGGATCTGAGGAGGGAGCCCGACGGTGGGGAGGTGCTGCCGGAGCTGGGGAAGAAGAGGAGGTCGGAGCTGGGGAACAAGAGGAGGTTGGAGCTGGGGAAGAAGAGGAGCTGCCAGAGCTAGGGAAGGAGCTACTGGAGCTGTGGAAGAAGAGGTGGTCGGAGCTGGGGAAGAAGGAGCCCACGCATGGAGGGGGTCGTGAGGACTCGCGATGAGGGTGTCGGGGCTCACGTGAAGGAAAGCGACGGAGGTCGGGGCTCGCACGGAGAGAAGGTGTCGCTCGGCGTCGGGATCGAGGCTGGATCGAGCGCGGCGTCAGGGTCAGGGCTGGATCGAGCACGACGTCAGTGTTAGGGCTGGATCGAGCGCGGCGTCAGGGTTGGGGCTCGCACGGAGAGGAGGCGTCGGATCGGGAGAGCCCAATTCCACCCAATACAGAGGGGTGAAGCTTCGTATTGGGAGAGCCCAGTTCCAGACTTCCAGTTATAGTCCAATACCTTGGTATTGGAGTTGTAATTCCAGATATTAATACCAAGCACATCCAAACAACAGAATTTAGGAAACCTGATTCCAATTCCCAATTCCAGGCTTCAATATCTACATCCAAACGGGGTATAAGTGATTGCCCACGGCTGTCTTCATCAATTTCCGAACCAGTCTCAACGTTCGATCCTCTCCCGACTGACACTGCGGGAGCGTATTAGAATACGTATAGTCTATAAGAATGTGATAAGTCTAGAATGAAGAGTTCCAACTCTGAAGAGTCATGTGACCTCCTATAAAACTCCTGTTCGATCAATGAAAAGTGCTAAGCCGCCAAGCCGGCCATAATCATTCTTTCAATACTATCTTGCTCCACCTGCCCCTGTCCATATAGGGGCCGTTCGGCTACTCACAATTTCAGTCGGAATTCATTGTGCGTGGATGAAAAACATTGTTCACGCTCTCATAAATTTCTCCAGATTCATTCAGATTCCTCCAAGCGAACAGGGACATAGACACATTATGTTCTGTTTTCAATCTAATGGGATTAATATATTCGTTTGATTTTAGCGAAGACCTAATGGAAACACGGCGTACAGTGCAGAGCTCGTCATGAGAAAACATTGGATCGTGGACGTAATGAACTCCGTGATTTTGGTGCCACGAACCACAGCACCTTTTCTGACTGTGCATTCTGTACAATACAAACAACTACGTGCATCTCGATCGTGGCACGTGCGACGTGGACTCGCTACGACTTGTTCCCTGTGTGAACTCGCACATTTCAGACAATACAGACGCTTCCTACCACAACCTATATATAAACAAAAACAACTTAAGCACAGAGTTTAAATTTCTATAGCTAGGAGCTGTATGTGAACAACTGAACATGCATGCCTGGAATATCTACATGTGATTTCAGGATCAACTTCTTCACTGCATTCAGGTGCTCTGGCCGGCCTCTGGGCTCTGCGTCGGCAGCTCGTACGGCTACGCGATCAACGAGGCAACCATCTGCTGAATCTCAATGTCCGTGGACCCGAGGCAGCAGTCGCCGTCGACGCTGGCAACAGCATCGGCCCCGGCGTACACACGGCCGAGGAGGACGAGGGCGCGGCGGGCGGCCGCGAGCCGACGGGACAGCGCGGCGGCCTCGGCGCGCAACTTGGCGTTGGCGAGCAAGGCGAGGGCCAGCCCGTCGCGCGCGGCCTCCGCGCGCGCCGCCAGGTCGCGATTCCCGCGCTCCAGGAGCGCCGCGCTGTCCCTGAGCTCGTTGAGGTGGCGCTGCTTCCGCGCGCGGGACCGCCGCGCGGACTCTCGGTTCGATATCCTCCGACGGAAGCGCCGCTGGTCGACGCACTCCTCCGCCGCGGCGACGGCGTCGACCTCAGGCCAGGACGCCGCTGCCGCCGCCGCGGGTTGAGTTGGGAATAGGCCTGCCGTGTGGTCTGATCCGAACCCGGCATGCTGCTTTGCCATCGCGGGGGAGATTTGCATGTCGATGCAAGTCATGCACCCTGAGAAGGCCATGACGGGCAGGATGGTAATCGTGTGCGATTTTTTTTTTGTTGATGGGGTCGTAATTGTGATCAGAGGAGGAGGAACGGACCGCAGTATTTATAGGTGGCTTACGAGGGGTATCTTGGTATTCTGTTTGTTGATGGTGTGGCCGTGTGGGTCCAATGTTGGCCGGTGATGATGCAACACACAGTACATCAATGTGGATCTATATATACAATCTTTTCCGATCAATGTTGAAATTGACGAAGTTACCAACGATGCAAAGCAAAGCCATGTAAAGCATAGGACCCTGTGATGCAAGTTATTAACTGAGAACTATGGGTAAGGAAAGAAACTTGCTATATTTCAGGTGTCTGAAATATAGAGCTTGATGGAGGAAAAAATCAAGACAGGAGTGGATACGGTATCTTATACTCTTCTCGTTCTAAATTATAAGATGTTTCGACTTTTCTATATATACATTATTTTTATTATGTAACTAGACATAGTATATATCTAAGTACATAGCAAAAAACATATATTTAGAAAAACAAAAAATATCTTATAGTATGGAAGGGAAGGAGTATTGTTGAGTGCACCCTAATCAAAAGAAATTCTAGGTCATCCACAGTCGACTGAAAATCAACCTATACATTTAGCTTAGCTAGTTTAGTATAGGGTTTAGACCGGGCCATCCATTTGTTCCTTGCGGATACAATATAAACCTCTAGAAAATATTCATAGGGAAACATCTAGAAAATATTCATAGGAAAAACATAAGTGCACCGTATGATTGTTCTTCACAAATGTGTGCACACAAAGCAACCAACAATGTTACAAAATAGATCATTGGCTGCAAATACATTGGACAAACCATACACATGATACAGTGATGTTCAGAGCTATGCCGCCATACCAGAACCGCCTTGGTCATTGAGTCTGCAGCATAATGCCTGCTGCGAGTGGCGGCGGCGCACAGGGCGGCTGCGCGATGGTGGCGGCGCGCAGCAGGGCAGCGACCGAAGTCACCTATTAGTATGATTTACATCACATGCCTTGTCGTCTCTTGATGAGGTCACTGCTACCTTGCGATCTTGAGTCACCGACCGAGAGAATCGATGCTTGTGACTTGCGAGAGGATGAGCTCGCTATTTGTCCTTTCATTTTAGTGTCGTCTCCGGAGCATATTTTTATTTTTCGGTTGGATTTGTTAGATAATTAGACATTTTTATAGTCAATTTAATCCAGAAATATAACATCAGTAGGTTCGTGACGATATATATGTGCATGTGTATATCTCTAACGAACGCTACAGCATGCAGAGATGACATACAGATGAATACAGTAAAAACGCAAAGCACAGTAATCACAGAGATTAGATTGTACCCAGCGGAGGGTCCCATGCCGAGGACATCGGAGGCTCCATTCGCACTAGTAGACATAGTGCATTGTTCGAAGTCGTGGAGCACAGTCGATGCAGGACGGTGTTCGCAGTGCAGTTCCACAAACGGATCACCAGGAAGAAGACGCCTTGCGAACGGATCACCAGGAGGAAGATGCTGTAACACCCCGGTGTTATGACCAGCATTTAGGCACTGCAAATCATGCATATTATGCATCATCAAGCATCCTAATCATACATGCGTAATCATGTAAATAATAATTGAAACCCTGCTTCGAAACATTTGAAACATGCTCGTGAAACATGAATGTTGCATACACTTGTTTAGAGTTGTGTTTGCCCAAATTATGCTTGCTAGGTTAGTAAAACATGTTTGGCTATGATTGTAAATCACCTAGAATTATTTAGCGCAATTTTTGGAGCAAATTTTGTATTCAAGTTATTGCCAAATTTTGCTTTAAAAATAACTCTCCAAAATTAGGGTTTTGAGTTAAAATTTACTTTTATTTTATAATTCAAAATCTAGCAAGAATTAGACTTTGGTCATAAAAGCAAAGTTGTAGAGGATTAAATTCTAAGCAATTTTTATTTTTGGGACATTTTCAAAAGATGTCATTTTCTTGCTCAAAATGATATTTGAAAACTGGTATTTGAAAATTTCTTAAAAATAGAAATTGAGAAAAATGTTTTCTCCTTTCGAGGGTCGTCGCCTCCCTTCTCGGCCCACGGCCGAAGCCGGCCCGGCCTGTCGCCCGCGCGATCGCTCTGCGTTCGCAGCCAGGCCAGCGCGTCTGGCTGCTCGCCGCGCGTCTGGCCTTGCATCTTATTCGCCGCATTGTCCGTTCGCGTCGCGTCCCGTCGCTGGCAGAGCGATCCGCGGCGTGGCGACCATGCGCCGGCGACGCCCGCCGTGCGGCAGCCACGGCCTGCCTCGCCCTCCACGCGCGCGCCTTCTTCTGCCCGACCACGCTGCCTCCTCCTCATTCCTCCTCCCGCTCTCTCAGACGCAGCGCCAGCAGCTCCCGCGCGCACCACGAGCTCGCCACCGACGCCGCCGCTGCCCCGCCGGCAGCATACCCCCTCCCACACCTCCATTCCTCCATTCCCGCCGCTCAAGCTCACCTAGCATCCATCCTCCTCGCTTGCGCCTCGCTTGCGGCCATCGTCGTTGAGGTAAGGACCAAGCTCGGCCGCCTCCTTCGTCTCCGGCGAGCGCTGCCGCGGCCAGGTGGTTCGTCACGCCGCCGGGCCACCTCCACCATCCCAGCCGGTGCGGCTCGGCGTGGCATGCACGCTGGCACCACCCGCGCCACCGGAAGGGCTCGCCGCCGGTGAGCACCGACCGGCGAGAGCTCCTCCTAGCCTCGAAGTCGCCGATCCATAGGGCCCAACAAGCAGTGGGTGGCAAAAGGCCCGGTGATCGCGGCGATGGGCGTTTGACCCGTTGGGTCCCGCCTAGCAGCCCCTCTGGGTGCACAGCACCGGGTGCACCCAACAATTTCGTCAGCTGGAGTTTAAAAAGGATTTCAAAAATGAATTTTTAGATTTCTACTTAAATGCTTTGGAAAATATTGGTGTACTCATTTTGGCTCCAAATTTGTTGAAACAAATTTTGCTAGGTTCCTTGTCACCAGATCTACATGATAAAATTATTGCATGTCATTTTTGAGATACTTTTCTGTAGAGCTTTATTTAATCCTTGATATTCTTTGATAACTTGAAAATGTGTAGAAAAACCTATAGGCTTTGAAAAATATGATTCCAAGTTTGTTAATCTTCTTATGTAATGTACTTCCTAGAAAAAATATGTGTCATGCATGTACTGTAGAAAAATTATGAGGTGTAGTTCAAGTGCCTTTAATGGCTGGTTTTTGTTATTTTTGCTAGAGGGCAAAATTTGTATAAAACATGCATGTGATAATTTTTGTACAGTGATTATTTGCTGTGTAGAACATAGGAAAAATATTTCCTCTGTTGTTTGACACTCTTCACAGTACAAAGTATTTTCAGGTTCATAATCATGCCATAGCTTGTTATTTTTGTGTAGGCTAATCTACTCATTCAAATACCATGAAAATCTGATGGTAGACTACTTAGGGTAGTACGGTGATATGGTAATTTTCTAAGATTTTTCTAAGCAATAAAAATAGATGTTGTTATTCAAACCTATTATTAATTAGGGTTTAATCAAGTGTTGCTTTATGTGTGATTAAGAAATTAGTGAAGCTTTGGTGTATCTTTGAAGCATTTAATGAGAGGTGTTGACTTAGCATATTAGTAGTAGAAGAGAATGCAGTAGATGACATGTGCTTGTAGTATATGTTTTTGGATGATGTTGACTACCCTGCATTCAAGCATATCCATTGTATTCATCTCATCCGATGCACTGATTGCATAAGCACTTACGCACATTGCATCATACAGGATCGCAAACGGAGAACCCAGTCGTCATACCCGAGGAGCCCAAGGAGCAGCTCGAGGTGCAGCCGTAGAAAGTGCCCGAAGCCGACGAGGAGGACGTTGAGGAACTTCTGGAGTGCCTCGATCACCGCCCGAGCTCCTTCGAGAGAGGCAAGCCCTGGAGCATTTTCTCCTCGGTTTACAATTATTAATTATCTGCTTTACTTTAATTGATGCATTACGTTTAGGAGTTGTTTGCAACCATTGCTGTATTATACCTTGTCTACCTTTGTTATACCATATCCTTGTTACCCTGGTATCCACAGTCGAGTCAATGCTTAGCTGGCTTAGACCGGTAGAAGTCGCGTGATTTCCTATCACCTGCGAGCTATTGGTGGTTACCTAGATCTGCTTGGATGACTATGTAGTCATGGTATAACTAAGTGTTAAATGAAATTGAGACCGGACGGAGACTTATAGAGTTTTGGACTGTAGTGCTTTCCGTCTGTGTCAATTAAGGACCGACCGTTGTTGGGCCTCGAGTCATGTTAAACGCATGCCTTACATTTAGCTGGCCGAATAAAGTACCTTTCGACCGCGAAGCTAGGAGATTTTTTGGGCCGAGTAGATTGCCCGCAGTGCACTGTGCCGGAGCAGGTGTGGTAGGACATGGGGGCGAGATGATAAGACCAAAGTGCAGTCGGTCGGCCCCCGGGTACATGTGGTTCCTGGCAAACTCGAGCTTCCTGGATAGTTGACTCGGTGACCGATACCTCACTTTAGTGGGTGAGTGAGGTTTGTGTAAGGAATAAATCACCAGCTGGTTAGGAATCGATTCGAATCGCCATCGCTCTTGGATAGTGAGCACTTGACTTGAGTTACTTCATCGTAGTAATGATTATGGAACACTTGGACAGTTATAATGAATATGACATTATGGAAGTTGATTAATGATCATGGGTTATCATTATTTGCTTAATCTCATGTTTACTCTAGTATAGGTGCAAATGTAGTCGACAGGTTAATAATAATTAACTTGACAATAATGCTTTTGGAAAGGTTCTTGAAATACTAAAAATGCTTCTTTTTGCAAATGAGTCAGCTACCCTACTATAAAGCCCTTCATATTCCTAGGTGCCACTTATTTTCGGTTATGTCGGGTAAGTCTAGCTGAGTACCTTCTCGTACTCAGGGTTTTATTCCCACTTGTTGCAAATGGGCAGATATA